AGACTTCCATGACGTTTCAAGTGACCAAAATATTTTCCATTTTCTTTGTTTTATTGTCTTTACTAGCCAACCCTCTTCAATATTCAGCTCTTGAAGTATGGATGCATTTGTTCTTTTCTTTAACCAAGATATTCTTAGAACCTGTCTGTAACATTTAAATTCAAATGCATTTATGCGCTGTTCCTCAAGAAGCTGAAAAATCAACACTTGTGGTTGGGTCCAGTTCCCCCATAAATGTCACTTTTCCGACTTGTCTGTAGTAACCTGTTTACATCACACATAGTTGATGATATTGTCTGAGTTTGTGCCTGCACAGTTTTTAATGAGCCAGGATATGAATACATTGACAGTAGCATTTAGGGAGGTTGTCCTTTGAGCTAAAGGGTGGAAGGTTTAATGTCAGCAGTCCTTCCTCTCTCTGGGTGCCCTCTTGCTCTGACATCAGGCCTTTCAACATGTTGCTCCTGTGTTGGTGGTAGTTGTGCTTGCATTCTAATGAGATGACTAAACTATTTAGATCTTCTTCTCTGGTAATTTGTTGCAAGATATTTTTTCCACCGTCTGTCTGATTGTATCATTTCTCACTCGATCTCAGAAAGGGTAGGTTGGCTTTTCTTGGACATCTCGACTCACAGGTGTTAATTTTACATTGCGATAATGTCCAAGTATGGCACTTGTAGCACTGTGTTTTTGGTATTTTGTGGCGTGTAATCTATTTCTTGGTAGTCACACTCATTTTTGAATGATGCGCACTCAAAGGATATATTGGCCAAGTTATTGCAAGGCATATTTTGCAGTATCTCATCAGCGGCATCAGGAATTGTATCAGCCTATAATGAGGTGCACACAGTGAATCCTGTCCTACCAAATACACAAATCACATTGTCATCTCGGCACTGTACGTCTTATCAATGGTAAATAACAAGAAGGGCACGGCCATTTTCCCTTATAAGCCCAGAATCAAGCAGTCTGTGTTGAGCCATATAGGGATATAGTCTTTGGCTGTTTCATTTAGCTGTCAGAGCATTAATCTCTACCTGGTTCTGGACTTTAGGCTGCTTCATAGCCGCTGGGGGCCACACTTTCTTCTTCTTGTGGGAGTCTACACATTGGGAGCTTCCTTCGAAGTCAAAGTACATCTGCCTGAGAGTCAAGGAACCAGCAGTCTGCATACAAATAAGCCATATCTGTAAAATGGATGTGAGCGCAACACTCAGGTTCTGGAAAGAGACTCAAGTCCAGAAGTGGATGAACAACCATAACTTTTTGCCAGAGTTTACAGTTGGTAAATGCGAACAAAAAGAAAAAAAATACCTGGATGGCTTGACCCATAGATTGTGACAAAATCATTGACCTGATCCATAATTCTTGTTATTGTCTCAGACAGCAAACCATGACCACCCGCACGTCTTGGTAGGGCACATGAAGATGGTATTTATTTCAGCTGCATGTTTTAACCAAGATCTGAAAACAAATTCTCTAGCTTTACGTTTATCGCTCCTTGCGTTTTTTTTTCTTTTTCTGAAACCTGGCTGGAAATTATTTGTTATTCCGAAACAGTACGTTGAACAGCAAATAGGGATGAATAGATCTCAGTTAGTGTTTGAAGCATGGCTACAGTGTTGCCAGTTTTAAAGCCACAGCAACAGTCTCCTTATTTTTATAAACCTTTACTAATGCATGTGAGAAATGTATGTGATGGGCATTAGAAAAACTCTCAACTTTTGGAGACATAAGTTCAAATCCTCATTAAGATGATGAATTGTTTTTTCCTATTATATTAAAAATAAAATCCAGACTTGCACATTCTACTGCAGCTGTATTAGCCTTAAATCTGTCAACCCACCCCCCATATACCACACCACCCTAAGAAGGAGCAAAAACAGAAAGGAAGGGCCGTTTTTTAAAAAAAAAACTACTGCATGCAAGTTGTAGATGATATGAAACCATAGTCGTTTATAGTTTTGTAAGTGGTCAGTTGAGCTATGCATGAACCTTTACTTGAATGTATCATGCAATAATTTAATTTGCCTAATATATTATTTCATGTATTCTATCAACATTCTTAACTACTTTGGATTGCGAGGTACCCCAGTGTATTACTAAAAATTACCTGGTGTAGTCAAAACAGGGCCATATATAATGGTCTCTGTGGCAAACTGGTTAGCCGTTTACCTGAACGTCGTGGATTAATTTCACGGCTGCACCGTTCGGTTTATGAGTGCAGTTTTTACAGAGGTCACTGAGGACTGTTACTGATGCTACCACGTTCTTTCGCGTGACAGTCTCGACAGGTAGCTAGCCATTCTGCAAATAGAGGGTCGCTACCATATGGGATAAAACCTGATGCAGTGAAGTAAATCCTTTCTGGATGGTTGAATGGAGTGCCTGTCCCGATGGATTGCCATCCAGGATGCATGTTGGGGGGAAGGTGGGGGGGGGGGGCAAACTTCCAGATAACAGCCGTGGGGGGGTGGGGGGGGGGGTGACACTTGTTATTTATTTATTTTTAAAATGATAAAGTAATTATGCTCTCTCGACATCTGTGGCTTAGGCAGTGCGAACGAGCTTTGTAATGTCAGGGTGCCTGGTTCGATCCCAGCTACGGACGGTTTGTCTTGCGTTGGTTTTGACAGTGGTGCAGAGAAATGACCGTTCAGGGAGCAATGGCAAACTAATGATAAAAAAAAACTTGCCTAGAAAAACCACAACAGCTGATTGTTCTAATGATAAGTTGTGTCTCCCATGAGGAGTTGGTTATGATGTCATGGAGACTCGTTTATATTAGAAGTACAAAGTTGTTCTTGTGTGCTCATGATTATGATTGATTTACTTATGCATGGGCATTCGAAGTGGTGCAGTGTCTAGATGCTTGCCTGCGGATCGGAAGGTCGTGGGTTTGGGTCCGGAACCGGGCTTTCTTAAAACAAAATGAGCTTGGCTTCCAGGTCGACCCAGCCCCGATTGGGTAACAGGTGCAGTCCTGGGAAGTAAAGGCGGTCAGCGTGAATGCTTACCACGTCACCCCCCCCCCCCCAGTGCCGATTGGTCTGTAAAATATGGGTCTAGCTCTATGTGCCCAATACGCCCGAAGGTGTGGAATTGTACTTTACTTACTTGTGCATGTCAGTTATGTAGGTATTAACTGTGTGTATTTGAGTTTTGACAGTTGTAGCATTGTTGGAACTAGCTTCTGTTCATTGACATGAATGAGTATGCATTAAGCTTCTGTAATACAAATAATTGACTGTATGTTTCATGAATGGATATTTCTGGTTTCTTTTTTAGTCAGAAATTGTTTTAATGAAAAAAGATGAATGATAATATTTTATGTGATTAAACATGCCAACTCACTCGCCACATAATGATTGAGGTTAGAATGTGGTCATGTTTAATAAATGACACACAATGATTGAGGTTAGAATGCGGTCATGTTTTAAAAAATAACACACAGTGATTGAGGTTAGAATGTGGTCATGTTTAATAAATGACACACAATGATTGAGGTTAGAATGTGGCCATGTTTAATAAATAACACACAGTGATTGAGGTTAGAATGTGGTCATGTTCTAAAAAATAACACACAATGATTGAGGTTAGAATGTGGTCATGTTTAATAAATGACACACAATGATTGAGGTTAGAATGTGGCCATGTTTTAAAAAAACAACACACAATGATTGAGGTTAGAATGTGGTCATGTTTTAAAAAATAACACACAATGATTGAGGTTAGAATGTGGCCATGTTTAATAAATGATACATAATGATTGAGGTTAGAATGTGGTCATGTTTTAATAAATGATACATAATGATTGAGGTTAGAATGTGGTCATGTTTAATAAATGACACATAATGATTGAGGTTAGAATGTGGTCATGTTTAATAAATAACACACAATGATTGAGGTTAGAATGTGGTCATGTTTTAATAAATGACACATAATGATTGAGGTTAGAATGTGGTCATACAAAAAAGAATGACACATAATGATTGAGGTTAGAATGTGGTCATGTTTAATAAATGACACATAGTGATTAAGGTTAGAATGTGGCCATGTTTTAATAAATAACACACAGTGATTGAGGTTAGAATGTGGTCATACAAAAAAAAAAAAATGACACATAATGATTGAGGTTATGTGGTCATGTTTAATAAAAAAAAATGCATAAACTCACTAGTAGTAATCTGTTTCTTATAAGACATTTATGACATTATTTTAAAACATTAAGATTAAATCACAAAATGTTCTCATAATGTTGTTATAAACACCAATGCATTAATTGTGTTTCTATGTATATTTGTAAAGCTTTATTGCTATTGAATACCAATAAATTGGTTGTTTATGTGTGTAACTGTGTGTGTGAGTGCACACATGCATAAATTGGTTGTTTATGTGTGTAACTGTGTGTGTGAGTGCACACATGCAGGCGCGCCTCAACACAAAATATGAAAAAAATATGTAGCTTGTTTTATGTGTCAATCTGTATCGAGCAAATAAAAAAAAAAGTTTATGATATCCGTTGTTAGATTGCCAATATTAAAAAACATTTTAATAAATATCCCACTTGATTCTTTTGTTGTCATATTTAACATTATACCCAGTTAGGTTACGAGGCTACCATTTATTCTGCAAATAAAGAATAAACTCACTGTCACATTACAAGCATGTCCTAAGAGGCAAGAGTGATAAGGGGTTTGCTGAAATCAGATTATTCGGCCGAAAAGTGTATATATTTGAGCTTACCTGTAAACCACTGCACAGCATGAGGATTGTCCTTTAAATGGCAAACACGGGGAGAAGAAGAAGAAAAAGAAATTGAACATTAATACCATTTTTCCAAACTATTTACTGATATTGAACTTTTTTTTTGGGGCACATATTTTAAATGTTGGTCTTTATGCAAATTACTGTGTGCTGTATTTTTAGCTAGTTGACTGAATAATATCCGAAATTTGTATTTTCAAGTATTTACGTATCTTATTTCTATCCCGCATCAGGAATAGAAAATATGGATGGTGAGGGTAAGTGGATTACTGCACATCCCGCAGTTTATTTGCATGTTGGCACATGGCAGCTGTTGTGATTCAGTGTTGTCTTTCCTTGTTGTAGTTACTTTGTGGATGGTCAGGGGATATTTCAGTCATGCTAGTTCTGTTTCCCGCTCAACATTCTTGGTCAAAGGTTCCTTGCATGAGCAGCTGGAAATGTCTGGCACATTGTACAGTTATACATTTCAGTACAAAATGCCCGTGATGTAGTTTTCATTCTTTCTTAACAGGTGCGGTGGTGATTTCAAGAAGTATGCATGTTTTTCGTATTAGCAGTTTCTTTATTGCATCATTTGATTAAATGTTAACTTTTTCGGGTGGCTGCGTGGTCTCGAAGCATGGTGTCTGCCTCGAGTTTTAGAGGTTTCGGGTTCAGTCCCCGGTAAGGGCTGAGTTTTTTTCATGTGGACTTGGACTTCTAGTAATTCACCCTGATCTCTGGGTAGTCAGATCAGACGCCTGTGTGCATTTTTGCATACGTAAAAAAAATCCTGTGGCAGTTGGAAATCATAAAGAGTAGCCTAACAGCGCTGCCCAGGCAAAATTTGGTGTTAAAAATCTACCCAAAGTGTTTCAGGATCTTTGCCGGTGCTACAGAGCCTGTGCTTTGGACTCAGACTTGAGTTAGAAGAAGAACAGAGCACTTATGGGTCACTGCCAGTGTGCCATGATGTTGATCTGTTGGTCAAACCTATAACTTAATTTTTCGGTCCCAGTTAGTTAATACTCTGACTCTATTCTGGCTCAGTCTATCGTCGGTTACTCTGACTTTATTATAGGTAGTCTATTTTGTGAATTTATTACAGGAAACTAATAGAAGACCAGTGTAAAATAGTTTGGAAATTGAATTATTTAACAGAAGTTGTTAAGTAAGAACTAAAATAGTGTTGCATTAGATGGAAACTGGGTCAGCAAAGACCCACTACCCAGACACCCTTCCCCCCTCCCCCACCAAATAATCCTGTAAGTAACGGTTTACATATACATAAAGTTAAGGTCCATTTTCAACGCCTGTACTTGGTGGGAATTAGTACAAGCATGAATAGGGGCAGAATTGTAGTAGAAGCAGAATTAGTGCGAGCAGTAATAGGGGCAGAATTGTATTACTAGCAGAATTAGAACGAGCAGTTATAGGGGCAGAATTGTAGTACTGGCAGAATTAGTACGAGCAGTTATAGGGGCAGAATTGTAGTACTAGCAGAATTAGTGCGAGCAGTAATAGGGGCAGAATTGTAGTACTGGCAGAATTAGTACAAGAGTAATAGTGGCAGAATTGTAGTACTAGCAGAATTAGTACAAGAGTAATAGTGGCAGAATTGTAGTACTGGCAGAATTAGTACAAGAGTAATAGTGGCAGAATTGTAGTACTGGCAGAATTAGTACAAGAGTAAAAGTGGCAGAATTGTAGTACTAGCAGAATTAGTACAAGAGTAATTATGGCAGAATTGTAGTACTAGCAGAATTAGTACAAGAGTAATAGTGGCAGAATTGTACTAGCAGAATTAGTACGAGCAGTTATAGGGGCAGAATTGTAGGACTAGCAGAATTACTACAAGAGTAATAGTGGCAGAATTGTAGTACTAGCAGAATTAGTACGAGCAGTTATAGGGGCAGAATTGTAGTACTAGCAGAATTAGTGCCCGCAGTAATATATTGTAGTGATAACAGAATTAGAAGGGACGAGAAGTAATATATTGTAGTGATAGGAGAATTAGAAGGGGCGAGCAGTAATATATTGTAGTGATAGCAGAATTAGAAGGGGAAGAACTGTAGCAGTAGTGAGAGCATTGGTAACAGAACTTTGGTAGTAGTTGCAGTATTATGACATTAGTAATAGTGGCATAATTATAGTAGTAGTAGTAGCAGCAGCAGCATTAATTGAGGTGGCGTTGGTGCTGGTGGTGTCAACATCTGACATTGATCTATTTCTTGCAGTGTAAGACAGCTGTCTAAAAACACACCAATGTATACAGCTGTACAGGGGAAAAGGAAACATAAAGAAATGAAACCGTTTGAGGGGGGAACAAATGAAATAAATGATCAAGAAATAGTAAATTCTATAAATAAGTATTCAGTTAGGAGATTTAGTGGTTGCATTGAATATATATGTGTAGCTGTATTTGTTTGTGTTGTTATCCTGCAGAAGATAGCAGCCGACAACTTACAGCTGTTATCATTCATGGTTGTCAGAACTATTATTTTTGTCATGGTGCCTGCAGCCTTGTTATTTCATTGTTGTGATTTGCTGTTTTGTAAGTTAGAAAGATCCCAGGGTTTGAGTACCATGTGTTGTTTGTAACTGTTTAGTCAGTGATGCTTTTTCTTTCGTGGAAGTAAAACACCCTCCATCCACCATCATTTTTGTCTACTGAGGAACATGAGTTAAATGTTACTTCATTCTGTTCCATGCAACTCCCTTTTGAGTTTGTTGGTTTCAATTGACATTATGTATAAGCTTTTCTCGACTCTATGTGACCCTTCTAGCTGTGACACCCACCAACACTGCCCCAGTTCTTAGTTTGACTCCTCCCATCCTATGATAATTGTTTTATTTCTTTAGACAAAAATTGATTACTTTAAGTAACGACTTCTTTGAATATAACATATAACGGGGGTGGGCATTCACTTGGTAGCGAAAGAGCTATGTAAGGTTCACAGCTAAATAAAAATTATAAAATTCCTAGCCAGCATAATGTAGCCACTTCTTATGACCTTAGTTCCTTAGTCTAGAAACACATATTCACAACACGCACCAGCATGCTGGAAATGTCCTAATAAAAGAGAAACAACACAAACAAGTTCCCCCATTGTATATTGTAAGTCCTGCCTGTGATTTTGTTCTTTTGAGTGTGGATATTGTCCGAGTCATTTTGTTCTTTTGAGTGTGGATATTGTCCGAGTCATTTTGTTCTTTTGAGTGTGGATATTGTCCGAGTCATTTTGTTCATTTGAGTGTTGATAGTATTCTAATCATTTCTTTTTAAACAAAAAATGTAAATATTTGTATTTTGTTTGTAGGTTTACTTGTATTGCAGTATTGGCATCGTCCTGGTAATTTCATTCACTTTGGTATTGATATTGTCTAGACATTTTGTTTATTTTTTGTTGTTGAAATTATCCTAGTCATTTTTTGTTGATATTGTACTTGCCATTTTGTTTATCTTAATATTGATACATTTTTCTAATTTGCATTGCAACTGATTCAGGTTGCTTCTTTTGCTCTGTTGGCATATATTCAGCTTCTTCTTCTTCACCAGCTGTAAACTTTGGCAGAAGATTTTGGTTGTTCATCCATTTCTGGACTTTAGTCTCGTTCCAGAACCTGTTTAACAGGGCTGGCTTATTTGTAAGCAGACTATTCTCTGTCTCTCAGGCAGATACACTCTGACTTTGGAGGAAGCAACCCTAATTAGTTGGGGGAGGGAAGAGGGTAGTGGCAGTGGATCTATTTCTAATCTATGTCCACCTAGATGAGATCCCGGCACCTACAAACAGCTTTACATGAAAACCTTAAAATTGTGATAGACACTACAATAGCCATACCCTTATTTTGCAACCTGTCAGTTTTGTTGTTAGGAATGTCAAGAGTGTTAAGCATGTGAAATATAGTGCACTCCTTTACTGATCAGAAAACAGAACGCAGCTCCTCTTTGGTGCATGTCAAAAGTGGGGCAGCCATTTATAAACTGTCATTATAACATCACTATATTTGTGCATCATGATTTCACATGTTTAAAACTCTTGATATCCTTAACAATAATATTGATAGGCTACAAGATAATGGCATGGCTACTGTAATTCGTGTCATTCAAATGGTTTAATTTAAAACCCCCTTGTTCAAGGTGCATTCAGACGATTAATGCCCCAGATTTTCTTCTTGCTAACTATTTAGGCAAAAAGTTTTCTTCTTCTTCGCAGTCACCAGCTGTAAACTCTGGTGGAAAGTTCTGGTTGTTCATTCACTTCTGGACTGCAGTCCTGTTCTAAAACCTGAGTGTTGCGTGTGCATCCATTTTACATATCTGACTCCTTTGTGTGCAGACTGCTGGTTCCTTGCCTCTCAGGCAGATGCACTCCGACTTCGAAGGAAACAAAAAGTTATGAAGTACACTCACAGTATGAACTGACTGTGTCCTTTACACATTATATTTTTTTGTTTTATCTTCTATTCACTTCTATAACCTTCTGCGAATGTGAAACATGGAAATGCATGCCTTGCCTGTATCAGGTATTGTTCCGTCCACATAGACACTACAGCATAAATCAGATTTGTCCCGCCACCTTCTGAAGCTTCAACTCTCTGAACCCAGCAACCCTAGACACTCCTGTCAACTGCACAACTTCCATACACAGAGCACAAGTATTTATTAATGTTCACCACAATTTGTTTATTCAGCAACCAGGAATTTTACAGTAACTTGCTGTTTGTAATGCAGATTGTACTCACTCTTCATTTTAAAGGATAAGTCTAGCGGTTTGCATTTTTGTCAGAACTAATTGTCATTTCATACATACGATCCTGAAATATCTAAGTTGAAACTAGCACAACTTCATATTGGTATTTTCTTAAAATGTTAGGCATTATTTTCTGAATGCCCCTTCTATAACAAAAGATTTTAAGTGCCAAAGGATGGCCTTGTTAATATGACTATAAAAGTATACATTGCTGATTGATGATTGTTAAAATCATGAGAATAATAAGACTAGATTGTCTTTGTACTGACACCCACAGGGGCATAGAAATCAAGCAAGGCCAACAAAGACATGCAGAAGGAAACTAGAGAGCGAACTAGTTGGTTGTGGGCCTGTGCTCCATTGGGGGTTGGACAAGAAGAAGAAGAGTGATGACTTGTTGTTTAAGTGTAAGACTGCCAAGTGATGATTTGATGAGTGCCAAATGATGACTTGTTTTTATGACTGTGAGAATATACACAGTGCTGAGTGAGGTCAGTTAGCTGTAAATATGAGAGTAT